GCTCGCCGCCGACAGCTTCCGTCCCGACGAAACCACGGCTCCCGCTCGAGTTTTCCTCTCTTGTTAACTCAAGGCGGTGCTCCTCCTCGCCGCCGAAAATTGGCGTCCCGACAAAACCAGCGCTCCCGCCCGAGACTTCCTCCCGTTCTACGTTGGACTAACGCCTTACTCTCTTCAGCATTGGCGTCCCAGCAACAACAGCGGCTCTGCTCAAGACTTCCTTCCTTTCTATTCAGGGCCAGGTCCTTGCCTCGCCGCCGACAGCCTCCATCCCCACCAAGGCAATTTTGTCGCTCGATACTTCTTTGTGCTTTACCTTTGGCTGGGGCTCCACTGGCGGTCTCGCATCGGCGCACCAAGGCGCGGGCATGTGTTTTCGAGGCGGGATATGTTGACATTCCTCGGAGGAGGTGTTTGCAAGACCACATTGGGCGGGAAATCTGGGAATGGGAATAACAGACCCCGCTATAGAACAAGAGTCCCCAATGATGGGGATAGTTATCATGATGGTCGCATGCTTCGCGCGAAAGCATCGCGCGTGAGGGTAAAATGATGGTCGAACTCCCACTTCTGAAAAATAATTACTGTTGATCCCCCCCACCAGTGCATACAGTTCTTTCTGAATCAAAATGTGCCCCTCGACGCTCGCACCCTGTCTTTCCCAATCAAAAAGAATCTTGCAGCTCAAACTGGGCCCCTGGCCCCCGGGTTACAACAACAACGGCTCCCGCTTGAGAGCTCCTCACAATTTAGTCAGGACCCCCGCTCCCGCCCGAGACTTCTACGCATTTCATTCAGGAATCGCGCCCTCGCTTGGGACTTCCTGACAATTTATTGAGGAATCGCTCTCCAGGCGCTCTGGCGTCGCGCTCTCGCTGGAGACTTGCTTGCAATCTACTGAAGAATAGCGCCCTTGCGTTGGAACTTCCTGCGATTTACTCAAGCGCCGCGCTCCCGATACCCAGGCACCCAGGAGTCGCGCTCACGCTTAGGACTCCCTCGCAGATTACCTCGGAATCGGGATCCCGCTGCCTTTCGTGGCTCCGTTGCAACCCTTCGTGGCCCCCTCGCTGCCCTTCGTGGCCCCGTTGCAGCCCTTCGTGGCCCCCTCGCTGCCCTTTGTGGCCCCGTTGCAGCCCTTCGTGGTCCCGTCGCTTTGTTTCGTGGCCCCGTTGCAGCCCTTTGTGGCCCCGTTGCAGCCCTTCGTGGCCCCCTCGCTGCCCTTCGTGGCCCCGTTGCGTCCCTTCGTGGCCCCCTCGCTGCCCTTCGTTGCCCCATATATGTATGCCCTTCGTGGCCCCCGCTCGTTCGCGCCCTCTGTGGCCCCATATGCATGCGCTTCGTGGCCCCGCTGTCGCCCTCCGTGGCCCCCTCGCTGCCCTTCGTGGCCCCGTTGCTGCCCTCAGTGGCCCCGTCCTTGCCCTCCGCGGCCCAGTATACGTATGCCCTTCGTGGCCGCCGCTCGTTCGCGCCCTCTGTGGCCCCATGCGCATGCCCTTCGTGGCCCCGCTGTCGCCGCTTGTGGCCCCCTCACTGTCCTACGTGGCCCAGTTGCTACCCTCAGTGGCCCCATCCTTGCTGTGGCCCCGCGTTATCAGCCCTTCGTGGCCCCCGCTCGTTCGCGCTTTTCGTGGCCCCATACGCATTCCCTTCGTGTCCCCGCTGTCGCCCTTCGTGGCCTACTTCGTGTCCTTGTGGCCCTGCTGTCGTTCTCTCTCGCTCTCGCTTTCGCTCGTCGTCGTCGCCGTCGCCGTCGTCGCCGTCGTCGTCGACGTCGTCGTCGTCGTCGTCGTCGTCGTCGTCGTCGTGGTCGGTCCCCTGTCAGTCGCTTTTAGGGTCGGGTCGACGGTCCGCGGCCGCCCCGCCGATCAGCGCTGCCGCTGGCCAGGCCGACGGTCCGCGGCCGCCCCGCCGCTTGCCGGGGCCCGGCCTGCAGGGAAGAAAAGTATAACCCCCAAAAGGGGTTCGATCGACGACGAAGAGGGCGGGTATCGAGGGTTTGAGAAATACGCGTTATTGGACACTCGAGCAGATAAAGGCGAACAGTCTTAAACTAATTGTTGCTGTTGTTGTTGTTGCTGCTGTTCTTGTTGAATAATACTCATTTCTTAAAATCATTACTGTTGATCTCCAGGAACGGTTCCGCGCGCTCTCGCCTCGACGCCGGCTACATTTTCTCTGAAAGCGAGGCTCCCGCGCGAGCGTTGGCTTGAGTGTAAATGTGGGCCCTTGGAAGCCCGGCTACAATGACAACGGCTCCCGCTCGATACTTCCTCACAGCTTACCCCGAGACACCCTGGCCAGAGAGGCCCCAGAACTCAGGAACGGCGCTCTCGCTCGAGACTTCCTCGCAATTCAATTAAGTTGGCGGATGCCCAGCTACGACGACAAGGGCTCCTGCTCAATACTCTCTCACGGTGTACTCCGAAAGCCCCTGGCCAGAAGGCCCCCGAAGTCAGGAACGACTTTCTCGTGATTCAATCAAAGTGGTGGAGGCCCAACTACGACGACAAGGGCTCTCGTTCGATACGTCCTCAAGATGTTTTCGCAAAGGCCCTTGCCAGAGAGGCCCCCGAACTCAAGAGTGGCGCTCTCGCTCGAGACCTTCTCCTAACTCAAGCAAGTTGGTGTAGGCCCAGACACGGCGACAATGGTGCCCGTTCGATATTTCTCCATTTGTGTCCCGAGACACCCTGGCCAGAGAGGCCCCAGAGGGCCCCCGAAGTCAGGAACGGCGCTCTCGCTCGAGACTATCTCGTGATTCAATCAAATTGGTGGAGGCCCAACTACGACGACAAGGGCTCTCGTTCGATACTTCCTCAAGATATTTTCGCAAAGGCCCTTGCCAGAGAGGCCCTCGAACTCAAGAGTGGCGCTCTCGCTCGAGACCTTCTCCTAACTCAAGCAAGTTGGTGGAGGCCTAGGCCTGGCGACAAGGGTTCCCGCTCGATATTTCCCACCAGTGTCCCGAGACACCCTGGCCAGAGAGGCCCCCGAAGTCAGGAACGGCGCTCTCGCTCGAGAGTTCCTTGAACTTCAGTCAGTGGCACAAGGAAGAGATTCCCCCGAAATGGGGTGCAATCGAAGACGAAGTGGGTGGGTATCGAGGGTTAGGGTAAACAGAATGCAAGACACGCGTGCCAGTAAAAGCGAACAGTCTCATACTGATTGTTGTTGTTGTTGTTGTTGTTGTTGTTGTTGTTGTTGTTGTTGTTGTTGTTGTTGTTGTTGTTTTGTCGTTGTTGTAGTCGTCGTCGTCGTCGTCGTCGTCGTCGTCGTCGTCGTCGTTGTTAGTGTTGTTGCTGTTGCTGCTGTTGAGTGTCACTTACTCAACAATTTTTATAGTTGGACCCCCCCGAGCGCTTTGGCGCTCTCGCCTCGGTGCTGGCTACATTTTCATCGCAACTGAGGCTCACGCATGAAACGGTTTGGGGGGGCGCCAAAACCGGCCCCCCAACAGCAGCGCTCCTGCTCGAGACTTCATCTTTTTTTTCTCAGGGCTGGTGCTTTTGCTCGCCGCCGAAAGCTGCCGTCCCAACAAAACCAACGCTCCCGCTCGAGATTCCACCCGTTTCACCTTGGACTGGCGCGCTACTCTTTCTCTCATCGGCGCCGCCCCCAGCAACAACAACGCTCCCGCTCGAGACTTCCTCCCTTTTTTACTCAAGGCGGTGCTCCACCTTGCCGCCGAAAACCGCCGTCCCGACAAAACCAGTGCTCCCGCCCGAGACTTCCTCCCATTTTACGCTGGACTGGCGCCCTACTCTCTTTTGAATTGGCGCCGCTCCCAGTAAGAACAACGCTCCCGCTCGAGGCTTCCCCTCTTTTTCCTCAGGATGGTGCTGCTCCTCGCCGCCGACAGCCTCCGTCCCGACAAAACCACGGCTCCCGCTCGAGGCTTCCTCACTTGTTAACTCAAGGCGGTGCTCCTCCTCGCCGCCGAAAATCGCTGTCCCGACAAAACCAGCGCTCCCGCCCGAGACTTCCTCCCGTTTTCCTCTGGCCTAGCTCCCTACTCTCTTCAGCATTGGCGTCCCAGCAACAACAGCAGCCCTGCTCGAGACTTCCTCCCTTTCTATTCAGGGCCAGGTCCTTGCCTCGCCGCCGATAGCCCCCATCCCCACCAAGGCAATCCTGTCGCTCGATACTTCCTTGTGCTTTACCTTTGGCTGGGGCTCCACTGGCGGTCTCGCATCGGCGCAGCAAGGCGCGGGCATGTGTTTTCCAGGCGGGATATGTTGAAATTCCTCGGAGGTGGTGTTTGCAAGACCTCATTGGGCGGGAGATTTGGGAGTGGGAAGAACGGACCCCATTATAGAACATTAATCCCCTATGATGGGGATGGTTATCATGATGGTCGCATGCTTCGTGTGGACACATTGCGCATGAGTGCAACATGATTGTTGCTGTTATTATTATTGTTGTTGTTGTTGTTGTTGGTGTTGTTACTGTTTCTGTTGTTGTTGGCCCGAGCCTCTAGACCCCCCTCAACAAAAGTACCAACCATGGCATCAAGCGTGAAGTCACTGTTGACCTCAGGGCCGCCCCTGCAATTGCTGTCCACGGCGACCGACTCAATCTCCTCAGGGTCCCTAGTGGCCTGACCATTCCGCTCCTCCGCAACCGCCACAAAACCTCGCTCGACCTCAAGGCCACCCTTGCAGATGGTGATCCCGTCTACCACTGGCGTGATCCGCTCGAGGTTCCCACGGGGTCCTGCCCAACCTGTCTGTGCTCCACCTCGGTACCTCAGGGCAGTTCAGCTGGACCACCGCCGTGCCTCCCAGGCCTTTTTACACGTATTCCACCAGGACTCGGACGGGCCCTCGCTCGAACTCGCACTCTCGGGGGTCGTCGCGCGCGTCGGAGGAGGATGACGGTGAGGAAGGCGATGGGGGTTGCGGAGGTGGATCGGGAAGAGGAGGAACAGGAATATCCACAACGGCAACTGGAGTTAGCGAAGCACATGCGATCGGATCGGCGCAGTCCGAGCAGCAGGCCGGTTTCTTTTCTTCTTCTCTTCCACCACCACCTCAGGTGGGGGAGGCAGAGGTGGTGCATCGGCCTCGTCGTCGTCCGAGTCCTGCGGCGGGGGGAGCGCGAGAGAAGAATGATGCCACTCCGCCTCAGCCCCCTCCTGCTACCGCCTCCTCCTCCTCCTCCTCCACTTCTTCTTTGGGGCTGTTTCTGAGCCCGTCCCGCCGGCCCCGCGTCGAGCCGAGAATGACCAGAAAGCTCGTCTCAAAAACCTGTCAAGGCGACTCAAGATGGCCTCGGCGATGTCCCATGTGACCTCCTAGGCGACCCCAGATGTATCTAATACGGCTCGAATGCAATCCAAGATGCTTCAAGTAGCGCCCCAACGGAGCCCAGTACGCTCCAATATGGCTCCAAGAGGATCCCCACCAAACATGGGA